TCCTGCCCCAGCCTCCTAAGTAGCTGAGACTACAGGTGCCTCCATCATGCCTAGCTAATTTTCTTTTCCTTTCCTTTCCTTTTCCTTTCTCTTTCTCTCTCTCTCTTTCTTTCTTTTTAAAAATACATTTCTGAGAGAGAGAGGAATGGGTTAGTGTATAAGAGTGCTTTTGGGGCCGGCACTGCCCTACCCTTTTGAGCCACAGGTGTCACCTCTTCTCTTTTCTTTTTTTTTATTTTTTTGAGACAGAGTCTCACTATGTCACCCTTGGTAAAGTGCCATGGTATCACAGCTCACAACCTCAAACTTCTTGTGCTTAAGCAATTCTCTTGCCTCGGCCTCCCAAGTAGCCGGGACTACAGGCGCCCACCACACCACCCCGCTCTTTTTTGTTGTTGTCATTGTTTAGCAGACCCAGGCCAGGTTCAAACCCACCAGCCCTGGTGTATGTGGCCGGCCCCCTAACCAAACCATTGAGCTATGGGTGCTGAACCAAAGTTTTCTATTTTTACTAGAGATGGGGATCTCACTCTTGCTCAGACTGGTCCCAAACTCTTGACCTCAAGTGATCCTCCTGCCTCAGCCCTCAGCCTCTCAGAGTAAGCCACCTCACACCCAGCTAGAATTTGCATTTACCTCATTACTTTTTTTTGCATTTTTTGGCCGGGGCTGGGTTTGAACCAGCCACCTCCGGTATATGGGGCCAGCGCCCTACTCCTTTGAGCCACAGGCACCGCCCTAGAGACAGGATCTTACTTTGTTATCCAACCTGGAATGCAGTGGTGAGATCTAAATCTCTAAATTATTGCAGCCTTAAACTCCTGGGTTCAAGTGATCCTCTCACCTCACACTCCCAAGTATTTAGGACTACAGTCATGCAATACCACCCCTCAGATAATTTGTAAAATTATTTTTTGTAGAGACAATGTCTTGCCATGTTGCCCTGGCTGGTTTCAAACTCCTGACCTCCAGCAATCCTCCCACCTTGGACTCCCAAAGTGTGGGATTAAAGGGGTGAGCTATCATGCCTGGCCTTACTTCATTCTTTTTTTTTTTTTTGCAGTTTTTGGCCAAGGCTGGGTTTGAACCCGCTACCTCCAGCATACGGGGCTGGTGCCCTACTCCTTTGAGCCACAGGCGCCTCCCCCTTACTTCTTTCTTAAACTGAAAAACTCAGGGTAAAAGATGTCAGCTCTCCTCCAACTTAAGCCCATTTAGTGCAACGCCAGTCAGAATGCTGTGGGAATATGGTGGCTGGGGACAACTGGGGACAGTTTGACAAAATTCTACAGTTTTTCTGAAAAAAAAAATACATGATTAGTAATTGGAAAAAGTTTTAAAAATAATAGTGTCAGAGATTTGTACTATCAGGCAATAAAACATATTCTTTTTTTTTTTTTTTTTTTGAAACAGAGCCCCAAGCTGTCCGAGTGCTGTGGCATCACAGCTCACAACAACCTCCAACTCCTGGGCTCAAGCGATTCTCCTGCATCTGCCTCCCAAGCAGCTGGGACTACAGGCGCCTGCCCCAATGCAAGGCTATTTTTTGGTGGCAGGCGGCATTATTGTTGGGTGGGCCCGGGCTGGATTCAAACCCACCAGTTCAGGTGTATGTGGCTGGCGCCTTAGCTACTTGAGCTACAAGCGCTGATCCCGGGCTATTTTTTGTTGTTGTTGCAGTTTGTCCAGGGCCGGGTTCGAACCCACCACCCTTGGTATATGGGGCCCGCGCCCTAGCCGCTGAGCCACAGGTGCCGCCCCTCCCACTTAGGCGACTTTCCTAATCCGCTGATTTGGTGCTGCCTCGCATGGGCTTTCCATCCTAGCCTAGAGCTGGGAATAAGGCCGCCTCTTAGTTCCGGCGCTCAAAGTCCGCACCTTGAGTACTGCCTCTGCTCCAGCGGGCGCCCGAGCGCCACAGCGCCCCCTGGCCACAGCTGCCACCCGGCTCTGTCCACGCTGAGCCACTTTCGCCACTGCTTCAGATCCAGCTAGGCTTCTCTGCTGCAGCAGAGCCGGTCCAGAGCTCTGGGAAGCGCTTGTCGCTTGACTGTAGTGATTTGTCAACACGCGGGCTCCGCAGCCGGAGCGCCCTGGTACAGTGCACCTGGCTAGTGTGGCAGTGCGTTCGCAGCGATACTGACTAGATGCCCGGACGCTGTGGGCTCTAATCGCCTAGGCTGCACTCACTGCGGCTTCCAGCCGCAGGACATGGGAAGGAAATGGCTATATAGGAACAATAATGGTTTGGGGGCCGGGACCAGGCAGAGAGTCATCATTCAAGGGGTCCTTAGGGTCAGGTACAGTTTTAGGGACAGGATGAGCGGGCAAGGGCCATTCGTGATAACTGAACTCAGCCCTTCTCTCATACACAGCCCAGCCGAATCTAATGAGAAAAAGTACTTTGTTTTTTGAGACATAATTTCACTGTGTCGCCCTCGGTAGAGTGCTGTGACGTCACGGCTCACAGCATCCTCCAACTCTTGGGCTTAAAGTGATTCTCTTGCCTCAGCCTCCCAAGCAGCTGGGACTACAGGTGCCAGCCAAAACGTCTGGCTTTTTTTTTGTTTCAACTGTCATTTCTGGTTAGCTGGCCTGGGCCGGGTTCGAATCCGCCAACTTCGGTGTATGTGTCTGGCGCCGTAACCACTGTACTACGGGCGCCGAGCGGAGAAAAGGTACTTTCAAGTGGGTCCACTCACCCCCTTATAGGGCAAGCTCCTGCGGGGTAATGGGACTTTGACCGCCCTCTCTCCAAGCTCCGTCTAGAATGTATGCCCCCTCCCATCCTGGCCTCGCGCGCTGCCCCAGGGTCGCGGGACAGGGTGGCCCTGTCGGTTGAGGACAGGCCCTTCTGGAAGTCCCACGCGGTGCCCCCGCCTGACTTGGACCCCTCTGGGCTACAGACGGACCTTGGGCTCAGAGACGCCCCTTCCCAATGCGGAGGACGCGAGGCAGAGGATCTGTGCTGTCCAGGACCCCCTGGCACCTCCAAGCCGCTCCCACAACCGCTCGGGCACCAGGTCAGCCAGCGCGGTGACCAGTGCGCGGGGCCACGGCTCGCGGCGCGGCTCGAGGCTCTAGTCCTCCGGTCCTCTAGGGGGCGCTGCTCCGCTCCGGCCCCGCCCACAGACTGGCCTTCCGAGCTACTGGCCCCAGGGGAGCTACGGGGATCCCTGGAGCCTGGGCTTGTGGCTGGGACAACGCGGGTGCTAAGGGGGTGCGGAGAGGCGGCTGCGCGGTGCTAGCCGCAGAGGCCGCGCGGGGAAGCGAGGTGCGGGCCTGGGCCTGGGCCGGGGCCGGGGTAGGACAACGGGGTCAGCGGCAACTGGAATGGAGGCTGCGGGTTTCGCGCGCGCTTGGGTCATGGGATTCGAATAATAGAGGTGCGGGTTTCCGCGGAGGAGGGGGCTAGTGGAGTAGGGCGAAGGGCTGCTGTCTCTCAGGGACGAAAGTGAAAGGTTGGAGGCGGGGTGCTGATGTTATTGTCACAATAGAGGCAGGAGGGTGAGGGCCTCTATCAAAAAGCGGGTGTGGGTTGGCGGTGCTGCATGGGGAAGTGATGGGCTCAGAGGAAGGCTGAGGGTGGGGCCGGGAGGTTTATTTGTTGGAAGGATGGTGCCGCCGCAGTTGGAGGGATGGAAGCGAGGCTGAGGATTTGAGAGGGGACTGTTGGCAGGACGCAGGGGAGATTGCCAGGAGGTGGGTGACTCCTGCTTCTGGCAAGATCGGAGGGAGGTGGACTGGAAGGATGGCAGTGCAAATGTGGTACCCTCTTGTCAGGCCTGAGAGTGTAGCCGTGAATCTCTGCAGGCCGTGGGTTGCAGCTCGTGGCCGCTGATGGGAGGGGAAAGGACTGGCCTGTGGCAAGGACCAGGCCTTACTCCCCTTCCTGCTTCCAGCCACCATGTTCAACCACCAGCAGCAGCAGCTCCAGCAATTGCAGCAGCAGCAGCTCCAGCAGCAGCAATTGCAGCAGCAGCAGCAGCAGCAGTTGTTGCAGCTCCAGCAGCTTCTCCAGCAGTCCTCACCTCAGGCTGCGTTGCCTGTGGTCGTCAGGTGAGTTCCCTGCCCCCTCCCGGGGATCAATGGCTCCAGCTCTGCCTCTCAGACCCATGTTCTGGAATCCCTAGCCCCAGTCCATTCTGCTAGGGGCATCCCTGTTCTTTGTCCTAGAGAACATCAGTTGTACCCTAGAGGGGGGTTGAGAATGGAGGTGAGAGATCTAAAGGACTAGAAGGTCCAGCTTTCACAGTAACCTTCTGATACCACCTCCCAACACACAGGGGGCTCCCTCAGCAGCAGCCACAACAGCAGCTTCTGAGTCTCCAAGGCACCAATTCGGCCTCCCTCCTCAACAACTCTATGCTACAGAGAGCTTTGCTTTTGCAGCAGTTGCAAGGTATGGCTATGGGCCCTTTTCTCCATCTGCTTTAGTGGAAGTGTCTCAGTAGCCCCATTGCATACATCTCACTAAATCCACGCAGTGACCCTGAGAGGGAGCTACTCTTAGCACCCTATTTATAGCTGAGGACACCAAAGCTCCAGGAGGTAAACTGCTGAGGTGAATGCAGGGCTATTCAATCACAGAGGTGTGCCCTTGGCCATCGTACTGGCTCCTTGGGCATTACTCAGCATACTTCACTCACATTTGGATTAGATGCCATTTGACAAATGAGGAAGCTAGGAAGGGAAAGCATTTACCCTGGGTCACACAGCATCAGTAGTGGCTAAACTGGACTAAGACTTGATGCCTCTTGACCACCCAGATCTCTGGGGTGGTCTCTAGCCCTGTGCATTAAGCCTGTGGCCTTGCCCCAGTTTCCCCACACAGAGAGCAGTCTCAGCTCTTCCTTCCAAGATGCTGCTGATGATCCTAAAAGGAGGTAGGTCCATGTTATAGATGAAGAAACTGAACCCCAGAGAGGGGGCATGTGCCCAAGGTCACATAGCAAATAGGTGTTGCTTGGATGGTCATTGCTCTTCAGCCCTACCAGGGCCACATGGGTATGGATGATCCTGAGAACTGACTTATGTATGAGAGGTGGTTAGGTGGGAAAGAAACCCACACACAAAGGAACTCACATCATATACATATGTATATGTCTTCCCCTTTTCCTTTTCCATTTTAAAAGTCACACTTTTGGCTCGGCGCCTGTGGCTCAGGCGGCTAAGGCGCCAGCCACATACACCTAAGGTGGCGGGTTCGAATCCCCAGCCCGGGCCCGCCAAACAACAATGATGGCTGCAACTAAAAAATGGCCAGGCATTGTGGCGGGCGCCTGTGGTCCCAGCTACTTGGGAGGCTGAGGCAGTAGACTCGCTTGAGCCCAGGAGTTGGAGGTTGCTGTGAGCGTGATGCCATGGCACTCTACCCACGGGGATAGCTTGAGGCTCCGTCTCAAAAAAAAAAAAAAAAAAAGTCACACTCTTCAAAGTGAAAAAAAAATTGTTTTTACAAAGGGGATAGAAAAACCCAAACTTCATTAGTAGACTCACTCACTCCTGGAGAAAATAGCCAGTAGGTATTTTGGTATATTTCCTCCCCTTGTTTTCTAGCCATAGACTTGGGATTTGTACATGATTTCTATAATCGATATAAGTGAGAGGCTGTATTTTGTTTCTTTTTTGCCGAAGACAAGGGCGTGATCATTTACCATATGATTTGACAACTGCTGTCAAGATTATTTTTAATAGCTGTTTAATATTCTACTGGAGGGGTTTTCCTTGCTTGTATGAATCTCAGTTGTTTAGCTGTTTTCTTTGCTTTTTAATTTTTTTGTTTTGCTATTTTAAATAACACTAGGATGAATTATGATGTCTGAAACTATATCCTGAATTGGGGGGAATGGGTGTTTTATGGCTCTTGATAAATATTGCCAAATTGCTTTCCTAAAGGACTGGACCAGTTTGCAATGCCACCATCCACGTATGACAGTGCCGGTCTCACCATGCCCACAGCAACATTGGGTATTATATGCTTTTTATATATATATAAATGTATATATACATATAATTTACTAAGTTGGTTGGCAAAAAGAAGCTATGTCATTAATGTTTTTATTTGCATTTCTTGACATACTAGAGCAATTGAACATTTCCTATTTGTCTGTTATACATTTGCATTTCTTTTTGTGACTTGTCCATGTCCTGTGTTCATTTTTCTTTTAGGGTGTTTCATCTTTTTATCTTATTGTTTTTAAGAGCTGATTGGCTCTTTCTCTCCACAAATGTGTATATGTATTTATTTCAAGTTAATGTTAGTTGAACATTTACTGTGGACCTGAGACATTTATGTACCTCACTGAATCCTCATAGAACATTGTGAGGCAAGCACTATTATTGTCTCCATTTATAGCTGGGGGAACTGAGGCTAAGAAGAGAGAACTGCTTTGTTCAAGGTCACAAAGCTTGTCCCCAAAGCTGGGACTTGAACCCAGCTCTCACAGCATAGCCGACCCATGCTGTTAACCCTTGTGCTTCCTGTTTCAGCATTAGGACAAGAGTTCTGTCTTTTATCCCTCAAACGCTTCTCAGGCTCTGGGCCTCCCATGAGGCGTGGAGCTGAGTCAGATGTGGTACAGCAGTAAGCAGATGAGGAAATTATGCAGCTTCTCTAGGACAGGGAATCTGGGGCCTGCAGGAACACAAGGGGAGTCCAAGAAGCCTCCTGGGTTAAAGACACCTGAAGGGAGGTCTGAAAGATGCTGGGAATTAGCCTGCAGAACAGCCCAGGCAGCAGGGACAGCATATGCAGAAGCTCTGAGGCAGGGTGTTTGAAGGACCACACAGGGACCTATGACTGTCACATAGGGGGTAACTTGTATGGGGAGAATGGCAAGAAAGGTGGCTGGGGAGGTGGGCAGGACCAAACCTGGCAGAGTGAGGAATGGGCTTTGATCCTGAGGAGCAGGGAACTTTGGAGGGTTTGGGGCAGGGGAAGGAGTAAGTCAGAATATGATTTTAGAAAGATCACTATTTGCTATGCTATCATCCTGTGTGAAACTTCAGGCAAGGGATGAAGTGGGTTTAGAAGGAGGTGGGTAGGAGTGGGAATGGGGAAGGGGAGCCAGGGAAGAGGTATAGGATCAGCACTGATAGGTTTTGGGGGTTGCTTGGAGGGGGGGGTAGAGTAATGAGAAGGAAGAATCAGAAGTTCCCTCCTCAGAATCTTGGCTGGAGCCAGTGGATGGATGGCAGTGCCCCTCATGGGGACTGGGGGCAAGTTACTCCTCTGCTTTGTGTCTCTTTTGTCATCATTGGAAATAAAACCTACCCTGATGACTGCTGAGCCAAGTGACAGGGGCAGCGTATGGGTATATGGACTCTGCTTGGCATAGTGCCTACTTCATCATCAGCCTCTGATGAAGGATGGCTGGTGGAAGGACAATGTGTCATATATTTATTAGGGGTCCCCGTTCAGGGACCAGCCATCTTGCTGGTTCTCCTTGCAGGCCCTTTACTGGGTCTGTCATGTACCCTAAGGCATACCCTAAAGCATGTCTGAGGAGTAGCAAGGCCACTCAGCTGCTGACTGTAAGGTATCTGAGGGAAAAGGCAGCACCTCTCCATGTCCAGCTGCAGCAGGGAAGACCTTCAGCCTCCCTTGCCACCATGCCCACAGTGAGCTTCAGCTCTCTCCTCTGGCTGCCCTGGGGTGGGAAGGATCTTTTTTGAATTACCTGTGATGCTCCCTGGATGCCCTGGGGGACTGACTCCTGACCCTAGCCTCTGCCACCTGACCACAGTGTGATCCCGCTTCTCCTTTCTTCTTGCCTGCAGGTAACTTCCGAGGCTACAACATGGCAACTCCGAGCCTGACAGCCCCCAGCATTACACCCCCTCAGCTGGCCACTCCAAATTTGCAGCAGTTCTTTCCCCAAGCCACTCGCCAGTCCCTGCTGGGTCCCCCTCCTATTGGGGTCCCCATTAACCCTTCTCAGATCAACCTCTCAGGGCGGGGCCCCCAGAAACAGGCCCGGACCCCCTCTTCCACTACCCCCAATCGCAAGGTAAGTGATAGCTGGGCAGGAGTAGGTGTGGATGGGAGTGGGAGAGAGGACACCTGGGCTTCAGGTCCAGCTTCACCCACTCAGGATCATCCTGGGCCTTTGGGCAAGTCACACTTCCTTTTTGTGCCTCAGTTTCCTCATCTATAAAAGGGAGGTGAACTGATGTAGCATTTCCCAGACTTCATAGATTTCTGTACCACTGGTATGACTTGCCATGCCTAGGTACCACCAGTACTATTATTTACTTAGTATTTCTCTTAAAATTGGTGTTGCTCAGTGGAAATAAAATGTGAGCCATATGTATAATATAAAATCTTTTAGTAGACCAGGTGTGGTGGCTCACGCCTATAATCCTAGCACTCTGGGAGGCCTAAGCAGGTGGATTGCTTAAGCTCACAAGTTCAAGACCAGCCTAACCAAGAGTGAGACCCCATCTCTAAAAACTAGCCGGGTGTTGTAGCAGGTACCAATAGTCCCAGCTAGTTGGGAGTTGACATAAGAGGATCACTTGAGCCCAAGAGTTTGAGGTTGCTGTGAGCTATGATGCCACCGCACGCTACCAAGGCAACAAAGTGAGACTCTGTGAATAAAACGAACAAATAATAAAATAAAATAAATCTTTTAGTAAACACATGGATAAAGGAAAAAAGAATGATTGAAATTATGTTACTAATATGTTTTATTTAATCCAACATATGAAAAGAATTACAGGCCAGGCACAGTAGCTCATACGTGTAATCTCAGTATTTTGGGAGGTGAGGGTGGAAGAATTGCTTGAGGCCAGGAGTTCAAGACCAGACTAAGCAGCATAGGAAGACCTTTTCTCTATAAAAATAAAAATAAAAAATTAGCGGCTCGGCGCCT